ACCCACCCCACACCCACACCCGCCCACACCCACACCCACCCTGCTGATGCACTTCAAATGATTGATCGAGAAAAATTATGTCAACGTATTATTAAATCTGAAAAGTAAATTCTTTTTTTTTTCTTTTGTCTATTAAACATACTTTCATCATATAAATTCTTAGTTATCCAGAAATGTTTGAAGATGATGATAATTCAAAAGAATGAAAGAAAAAAAATGAAAATGAAAAATTACTTGATACTCAAAGTTTATTTCGAAATTTTATGGCAAATCAAGCAACGGATCTTTATTATTCATTTTGTCAAGATGATGTTTGTGATAGTGGTAATGATTGGCATTGTGCTATATGGGGTGTGGGTGTGAGTGTAAGCCATCTGTTCATCTAAATCTACACCCACACCCACACCCCACACTCCACCCACACCCACACCCACACCCACACCCACCCACACCCACACCCCACACCCACACCCACCCACACCCCACACCCTCAGGAATATTGGAAAATTTTCTCAAGTCAAGTCAAGTCAAGGTATTAAACAATTCCAAATTAAGTCACACCCTTCCAGCTGGATACCAATGTTGTTGTATGTAGATAAAACGAAAATTTTAACTTGTTCAAAAGGTCACTTTCAACAATGAAGTGATATGTAAGAAATTTACCGATAATATATAAAAAACAATTTTTTTTCTCTCTTTTTCTTTTCCGTCTATTCTGAATATTGTATCTCAACGACATCAATCGCTGATGTCGTCGAGATGCAATATTCAGAATAGACGGAAAAGAAAAAGAGTCAGAAAGTCAAAACAAACTTTTCAATTGAAGTCAGGCAAGTCAAGTCAAGTCAGACGTATTGAAGAATTTTTTCAAGTCAAGTCAAGTCAAGTCAGGCATATTGAAAAAATTTTTCAAGTCAAGTCAAGTCAAGTCAGGAATATTAAAAAAATTTTTCCAAGTCAAGTCAAGTCAAGTCAGGGATATTAAAAAAATTTTCCCAAGTCAAGTCAAGTCAAGTTGAGTCAAGCCAAGTCAAGTCAAGTCAAGAATATTAAAAAAATTTTCCCAAGTCAAGTCAAGTCAAGTCAGGGTATTAAAAAATTTTCCCAAGTCAAGTCAAGTCAAGTCTGACTTGACTTGACTTGGACTTGAGGCATTTTTGACTTGACTTGCCCAGCTCTGCAACGGAACAAAAAAACATGTTACTCATCATTACTGTTTGCGAAAAAAAGAACGATGAGCCCTTGACTATGCCAATATTATTCTCCTTATATACGTATAATTTCATAATGACGTTTTTTCTACGTGTATAAAAGACACATCTTTTGATTGCAAATCAATACTGAGTTTTTATTTCAAAAAATGTCCTCAATTCACAAATATGGATTATTAAAAACTGAGGAATATTCAAAACAGATTCATTACCAATAAGACAATGAACTATTGCTGCAAAAGATTGGCTTAAAATTCAAAGAGATGAAAAAAAATATAATGGTTCTCAAAATTATGCAACAAGGTTTATTTTCATTTTTTCCCTGTTCCCTTCAACACTAAAAAGAATCCAAGCAGTAATTTGAATAGGGAAAATTGTTTCCAACAAGGATCTGAGAAAACCAAAAAAAATTACTTGTCTTCCAAAGGTAGGGCCTCCAAAAAACCTAGTTTTTCAGCGTCTAGAACCCGCAAATATAATTTTATTTAACTACAAAGAATGATAGAGTAAGGAATTCTCTACGATGTTTTTGGACCGAGATACATCAATTTTATGGAAGGTCCAAAAAACGAGTTTTTCATTAAAAGACTCTTCATCATTTTTTTTTGTAATCTTGCATGTCGTTTAACTGAATTATATCGTCATGATCAATATAATCTTGATGCTCATTTAGTACCATTGTATTCAAAAGATCAAATATTAAATTTTTTATTACGATAGTCAATTGAACGCTTCGAACAAAGTGATTCATCATCTTTATTTCGTTCAAAATTAATTTATTATCAATCTGTTATTGTTATTCAATTAATTCAATGTGATTTAAATGAAAAGAAAAGCAATAATGAAAATTTTTGAAATTATTTTCAAGAAAACAATGGATTATTATCATTATTTGCAAAAAAAGAAGCAACAGTAATATTCCATTCAGCAATTCAATATATTAATCAATTAGAAAAACATAAAAGATTTTTACCATATGTTATTGAATCAGAATAAAATTAGTTTTTTAAGAAAGTACTAGATGAAATTATTGAATTAATTACAGTTGTAGTATCAAATCAACTAAATTTTATTGTATTTATTTATTTTTATTATATTGACAGGTGTTCCAGAAGTTCTATCATGAGTTTAAAATTCATCGTTCTTGCAATTAACAAAAGCAAAATTTACAATTTTGGCAGATTATTATACCTACTTACGAGAGAAGATTCTCAATTGATTCACGCACTTTTCAATGACATTTTGTACATATGTAGTTCTCATGGTCATGGGAACATTCCAAAAGTTTCAATAGCAAAAATATCTTCTTTTGAAAATATCATTACTTAAAAACTTGTCTCAAAGTATATATAACAGTCCAGAAAGGTTGACTTTTTTAACAATTCAATATTACGACAAATAGAGATGAGTAGAGTAGAGTAGAGTAACAGTTCTACAGAATAGAGGATATGAGTATGGGCTTGTCTCAAGAGGATATCCACATTCACACCCAACCAATTGGTTCTCCGCGCAAACTCTTTTAGTTTTCTAAAGACCTACAATATTTTTTCAGAAAGCCATTTGATTTCCGGAAAGTCATTTGGTTTCTGAGAATTTATCTAATTTTCCAGGAAGCCATATAGAGCATCATAGGTACTTCAAATACTTTAAAGTACAAAAGTAAGATATTTTTCCCTTGAGGTAATGCCATTATCTGTACTCTCACTTTATCTTCTCAAGTTAAAGAGAGTTAAATGAGATGGAGCATGCATTTGAAATATAGCAAAGTCAAACGTGATAAATTCTTTTTTCATGGATCAATTTTTAACTACTAATACCAAGGTATTAATTAATTCTAACACAAAATTATTAAAGCATTTTTTAAATTCTAATGCAAAAGCATTAATAAAAGTATTAATTTTAATGCAATGCTAATGCTAAGTCAGCACTCCTAAATACATCTCCTTTATAAGATATATAACGATAACTATTATAATGATATCATTTATCTTGCATCGATAACCAACTAATAAATAATAATTATATTTGTTATGTTGGAAAAAAATCATTTTATTCTCAACGATTGCCCATGATTGCTTTGATTGTAATAAGCTTTTTTCTCGCCATGGCGAGGAAAAAGCATCTGTTTATTATTCACCTTTTTCCATGTCATGGTTTTGATGAAATTTCAATGTTTTTTCTCGACAAGATTTTCATGCAAATTTGATTGTTTTTTTTCACGAAATGAAAATTTATGAAAGTCATGTATGATTTTGAACAACATCAGAAGAAATTTCCATTTTATGATCATTTTTCTGTAGGGAAAATTCCATTTAAATGAAGCCAATTACATTCTTGTTTTTTATTGCATGAGTAATTGTGACTCAGTTTTCGTAATGATTTTGTTTACGAAGTGTTATACTTATAACTAGGTAACCAAATAATTTAACGGTTTCTTCCTTTTTCTTGTTCTTCTAGTCAACAACAGTCCGCTCGCTTGAATAGTGCGTCATCGTTGTTTTTTTCAATTCTCTGTTTTTTTTATAGATCCACACAAATTTCTTTGATTTTATCCTTTTGAGGAGGAAGATAAAAAAATATATTGATACTTTTTTGACGTGGAATAAAAAAAACATGTTATTTCGTGTGTCATTATGGATTTTTCCTCTTTACAATGAACTATATGTTGTCATCACATCTATTTAAAAGCAAGCAATATATATAGAAGTAACCATTTTTTGTTTCAATATAAACGGAAGAGAAAACAAAGTAGGTGTATATAAGAACGAGGAAGTTAACATTGTATTAATATATGGAGTCTTAGTCTTTTGGAAGGCCATTTTCTTCTAATAGCTCACATGTTCTAAAATATTGACGGATTTAAATCGTTTTAGAAATAATATGTTCAAGAAAGATAAACGTCCAGCAGACAAAACATCTACATTTTATAATGGAAGTTCGAGTCCATTAGTAGAACGAAAAGAAAAGACACCTTCCCCTATATCATCAAATTTTGAGGAAACAAATAAAGAAGTGGCTTCTTCATCGTCGCAATCAACAACAGAACCAGTATCATGGGATACATTAGATCCATTTTCTGTCTTTGATGTGTCTGCAAATATTGCTACGAGTGCAAAATCGTCAACTGTAACACGACAATCAAAACCAGTTGTATCTTCTTCAACATTGCAACCATCTGCACTACAAGCGTCATATAAACAAGGGACGCAATCAGCATCTACAGCAGCAAATCAAATTCAAGCTGATAAAATGGAAGTAACACATATTATTGCAAACTATGCAGTGGAACCGCTCGAAATGTTGCATCTTGGTAAGTTATAAGTTAAAATTTAAAATTTTAATTCTTTTTTTATTCACAAAAGAAGTCTTTTTATAGAAGGGATTTCACGATGGATGTGGATGTCACCTTTCGAATTCTGTTCCTACGAACTTGAAATTCATAGTGACTTGTTAGGAAATGGAAGAAAAGACATATCCACACACACATCAGTGTATCTGAAGTAAGAGTGAGAGGTTAACCGTTACCTGCACATCGGTAACGAAAAAAATCATAGTTTCATACTTTTATTACACAAAGATCATTTCGCAAATCGCGAAAATAACAATATCTTAAAAAGTTCAAACAATGATTTTCAGGATTGATGAATCCGATTCTACAAGTAAATTTTTTGGAATTCATAGACACATTTTTTTAAACTTGTGGACTTCGACATTCCAGAATACCAAATGTTTGAATAAATTAATCCATGTATTCCAAAAATTCACTCATAGAATCGGATTCATCAACTCTGAAAACCTTTTATCAAGCTTTATAAAATTTGATCATTTTCGACAAATACCTTTTCTCTTATAGAAAGAGAAAACTAACAAAGATTTCATTATCTGATATTTATATGTGTTCGCATCCCTTAGGAACAGAAATTCTTACACATCCTAGATCTCACAATCGAAATTTCAGATCTTGAGGAGGGTGTGGGTGTGAGTGTGTTTAGATTTTCACTTCATCTACATCCACACCCACACTCACATCCATCACACCCCACACCCATCCCACATCCACATCCAAAACTGTCGGGTTTTATCGAATTCGCTGAGATTTTTGTCGAAATTCTTGGGATTCAATAAGGATGACTATGTTCTAGGCATTTGTAAAATTGACTGATAAACATTTTTGTATAA